AGAGAGAGAGAGAGAGAGAGAGAGAGAGAGAGAGAGAGAGAGAGAGAGAGAGAGAGAGAGAGAGAGAAAGAAAGAGAGAGAGAGACGACAGAATTTGAGTCACAGTTCCTCATGTTTTCACGCTTCATTTCGACCTTGCGAAAAAAAAAACTTGCGAGGGTTTGGAAAGACGTTTAGATGGTTCCCAATCCTCTTCGGTTTTGCTATGCTTTGTCCACTGCTTTTTTTTTTTTTTTTCGTTGTCAATTGTCCTCTGTCTCTCGCCGAAAATGGGCGACCACCTTCGGAGCGTGGGTCGTACGCTTGCCACATGACCGTCATTGGTGGTTCGCCACGAACATTTAGTCTGTCCGCTTTGTGCTATCGACAGGAAAAAAAACATACAAATGGAGAAATGAATTGAATAGGATCTTGCGAAAAAATAAGTCATTTCCACGCAAACACTGGCACGGACGATGAATGCTACACTTTGTACATTTTTGCTATGCTTTGTCCACTGCTTTCTTATTTTCATTTCGTTTCTCCACTGGCTGTCACCGTAAAACGGCCACGTGGCCGTCATTGGTGGTTCGTCTGTGCTATCGACAGAAAAAAAAACATACAAAGAAAAAAAGTGAATTGGATATTGGGGACAAAAAGCCGTTTTCACGCATAATGGAAAGATGGAAGAAGAGCCGTTTTCACGCATGATGGAGAGAGAGAGCTTTCACACATGATTTGGACCTTGCGAAAAAAAAAACCGTTTTCACGCATGATGGAAGGATGTACAAAAAACCGTCTTCACGCATGATGGACAAAATCCGTTTTCACGATTGATTTTGATCTTGTTAAAAAACAAGCCGTTTTCACGCCTTATGGAAAAAAAGTCGTTTGCACGCATGATTTTGACCTTGCGAACATAAAACCTTGCGAGGGTTTGGAAAGATGGTTACATCGTTCCCAATCCTGACATCATGGACACACCAAGTTCACGTTAGAGAACCGCATCGACGGATTCACACGAAAATTCACGATTGAAATGGAGAGAGAGAGAGAGAGAGAGAGAGAGAGAGAGAGAGAGAGAGAGAGAGAGAGAGAGAGAGAGAGAGAGACGACCGAAGTTGTGTCAAAGCTCTTCACGTTTTCACGCTTAATTTCGACCTTGCGAAAAAAAAAACTTGCGAGGGTTTGGAAAGACGCTTACATGGTTCCCAATCCCGAGATCATGGACACACCAAGTTCACGGACAAGTTCTTCATCGACGGATTCACACGATAAATCAAGATCGAAATGGGGAGAGAGAGAGAGAGAGAGAGAGAGAGAGAGAGAGAGAGAGAGAGAGAGAGAGAGAGAGAGAGAGAGAGAGAGAGAGAGAGAG